ATTGTATGTGTGTTACTCCTTCACTGAGATGGCTGGACGTATTTGGATGAAATTGAGTATACAGATACACTATATCCCGGAGTAGTATAGGCTAGTGTGAAAGACACACCCAAGCAAAGCAAGGGCAAGTAGCTCGTATTTGATACTCGAACGTCAAATATTAATAATAGCCATTTTTTTTAAATAATCACGTAGTGTCTTACGTTTAAAGAGTTTTTACATTATTGATACCGTAAAAATGGAGAATAATTTAGAAATAGATAGTAAACAAAGCGCCACGTCACTGCCTTAAGTTCAAAGACCGCTAAGCTTGGATGAATAATTTGAACCAAAAATCCGAAAACAAGATTCGATTGAGATAATTTATATTGTTTTATATATCCAGTATTTTATAGCATCTGGTAGCCCTGTTTGTATCGCGTATCGCTCTTTCTGAGCGTTTTACTAGCATCGCTGTGCGCTCAGATAACGATGAACAAAGCGTTCCCGACAACCGAATGCCAATTCAGGACATGCTCAGTCATCCCTATAAGCTAGTATCGGCATTTTCATTGGACGCGGGGTTAGAACCATAAGTCCATGTAAAATCGTCGCGCGAAATGTTTGGAAATTTTCAATCCTGAAGAATCTCAGGTTACGTGATATATTTAAATTGTTGTTTCATAAAATATTTATTTTATTTATAACAAACTAGCTACTGACACTCACTTCGCTCGGATTCGTCCCTAGTTAAAAACAAAAACATCTATCCCACAGGAACCACATCTAACAACATCTATTCCAGCCTATAATCTATCTCAGTGCCAAATTTCATCCAGATCCGTTCAGCCGTGAGTTCTGTCGTGATTGAGTAACAAACATCCATCTAAACTTTCGCATTTATATTTATGTGATAATGGGATCATCTTTATATATATAATTCTTCTGTGAGTGTGTATGTCACTGAACTTCTCTCAAACGACTGGACCGATTTTGATGAAATTTTTGTGTGTGTTCAAGGGGATCTGGGAATGGTTTAGATTCACAATTTGAATAATAATTTTCATCAAAAAAATTATTAAAAAAAGTTTGAAATTTTCAAATAAAAGACGTGTAGACAGTACAACGTCTGTCGGGTCCGCTAGTTTTAATATATAACGTATACACTATACATTTCAAAATAAAAACCATATGATTCAATAACCTACTTTTTGGAAGTAGATTGATAAAAAATGTGACCAGCGATAAGTCGATATCTTATAAAAAATAGATGCGTACAAAAAGTTATGAATGTCAATCAAGATTGTTCTTGAAACTTATTTACTATCAAAATATACTTAGTCATTGTGACCTGAATTTTATTATTTCATAACCAATTATTTTGTCTTTTGTTATTTTTTACCAAACTTTAGTTTTATTAATATATCAATAAATAATACTTAGATTTACGCGAATATTTTACATCTATACTATACTAATATAATAAAGAGGTAAAGTTTGTGAATTGTGAGTTTGTGACGTTGTAGGGGGTAATCGCTGGATCTACTGAACCGATTTAGATGAAATTTGGTAAGAAGATAGTTTCAGACCCTGGGAAGGACAAAGAATACTTTCTATCCTGGAAATTATCCCTTAAGGGGGTGAAAATGGGGATGACAGTTTGTATGGTGAATAAACCCCAAATAAATATAATATACAATAATAATATAAAGGGACGAACCCAAGCGAAGCGAGTGTGAGTCACTAGTTTAAAATAAAACTATCTTTTCATCATTCAGCGATCATGTTAAGGTGAGATGTTCTTCTTGATTATGGTTTCTGTGAAACGTCGGATACCAAAAATCAAAATAAATCCGCAAAAAACCCCGAAAAGATAGTTTTATAGTATAATCAAAATAGCAAAAAAAAACGTGTGTATACTTATGTACGCACATAAAAAGTTATACTTCTTTGGCGTAACAGAACAAAAATAGCTAAAGATTTCATTCCGTATGTCACAACTCCGTTTGTAAAAGGAATGCAGCTAACTTCATCAAGTCGCTTACATCTAACTTCATCATGTCGCTTTTTGGCTGTCGGTGTGCGCGCGCATCGTAAAAATTTGCCAAAAGAATTAAAACTTCAAAAATCTTCTATATTACGAGTACATCTAGGATCTAGTACCTACAGAACGGAACGTGCGTGTAAGACGCCATTTCAGTTGAGATAGGCGCGGGCGTCGACCCCTGCGCGTGCGATCGACACAAACACGCTATATTTAGGCGTGACGTCACCTGTTTATCGTACGCAAGGTTACGCAGCCCGCGATTTTACTGTCCGTGAGAAACTGAAGTTAGGAAATCGTGATGAAAAAAATAATTAAAACCACATACACACAATCAATTACATTTGTTACGAAATACGCATGTTTGTAGGTTGTTTGAAAGTGCATTCGTTGTTTAAAAATAAGCGCATAGAGTCATAAAAGATTTTGTAAAATAATTATCTTTGCACAAAAATTTAATGCTTTAATAAAAAAAAAAAACAATTTATTTGAGCTAAGGCTAAATGTTAGACATTAATAGTTATATTCTATTGGTACTACTCGCGGTATAACTCGCGTTCAAACTTCGGATTGCTACCAAACTTCATAGTATCACTCGTTAGGCTGACTGAAGATTACCTAAAAACTTCATCAAAACCGCCCCAGCCGTTTTAAAGTCCATATATATATATATATATATATATATATATATACAATAAACTAAAATATAAAATAAAAAATATATACACCAATCTAAAAACCATGAAAAATTGCAATATCAACGAAAATCTTTTTAAGAAAGATAATAAGAGCGTTTTTTTAACTTGTTTATATTGTATTTACTGTTGCAGGCAACGCCCACGTGGGATTTAGATTGTCATGCTTGCTATAATTAGTATCAAGACCTTCACTCCATACGAGCGCATACTGATGTGAGACGGGCGGGCATCTTTAAATGGAGCAAAGCAAAGTTTGTTGTTTCTATTTCTTTAATCGAAAAATAACAATGTTTTTAACTATTGCGTATTTAGGAATATATTTTGAACATTATTTAAGATTGGGACATTCTTAAATACTGTGTATGTCGTTCTGATATCATTACTATAAAAGTTGGTTTAGTCTACGATACACTCAATGTGTACAACGAGTGTGCCGAGTGCCTCTGTGTGAACGCGAGTGAACGTTCACACAGAGGCACTCGGCGTATACGCCTTGAATGCACCGTGTAGTGACATTAATTTCACAATTAGAGACACTCGGTGTATACGCTCAGTGTACCGTGTATATTGATAATGTCTTAGTATAAACCGGCCCTAACAATTGCACGACAGCTACATAAAGAAGGCTTACTTGAAGCTACTCCTTAATCTGGAGCCCTAACCATCAGTAAAAGCTTTCTCCTTGATAATTTTTTTAATTTTACATTTAAAAGTGTAATTTAATGTAATATTAAAAAAAAGAATGAACTGTAATTAAAAATAAATTATTTTTCTGTCTGTATTAAAAGAAATTTTGAGAACCTGTTACGAATACAAACGTTTTAAATAAGCGCAGAAACGAGGTTAACTATTCAACATTCTTAGCCTGTTTTCTGTTAGTTATAGCGAAAACTAGGGAACAAATTATCATAGTGCTTCACTAAAACATCTTCTATTGCTATAATCATCTTCCATATATATACAGTGGTAACGTGCTCGCTTGGGAATACGAGTGAAGCGGGTTCAAATCCCGGGTCTCACACCTCTGATATTTTCATGTACGAATCATTTCCAACAAGATTACCACTTGTCTTACGGTGAAGGAAAACATCGTGAGGAAACCTGCATATCTGATAGAACCTAGGAAGTTTTCTACTAAGGAACGAATCTAGGAAGAAAGGCATGTGAAGTCCGCCAACCCGCAATTGGCCAGCATGGTGGATTATGACCTGATTCCCCTTGTATTAAAGAGAGGGCCGTATCCAACAGTGGAAAGCTACAAAGGGCTGAATAAAAAGACGATTACAAAAACAAGAATTATCACCAAAACAGTTGAGATGATCTACGTGAGTCCTAAAATAGCATTACAATGGAAATAGGCCCGACATGAGGCCTTATTCGAAGCCAGCGATGGATGAGAAGGGTGACAGTATCGAAAGGACCATAAGGGAAAAAGAACAAGGGTCTGGTCTTCTAAGAAGACCAAGTTAGAAAGATGGCTAGTCCTGTTTTCAAACATACATAAACATATGTTTATTGACTATAATAAATATCCACATTTTTAAAAACATTAAATGCACCATTTAAACGAGTATCCTATCTAATATAAATTGAAAATTGTTGGTGCGCGTTAGAATTGTAATTATTATTTAGATAACAAAATTGAAAATAGGTAGTTTGAACAACGATAAAATGTTTATCTTTTTAAGTAATATATGAAAACAAAATAAATCATACTTCTTATTATTTTATTATGTTTTTATATAATACTTAGTATTTTATTGTTTATCAAACAAATAAAATATTTTGTAATTTTTTAACTGACATTGATAATAAATTCAAAGTAAGGTTTAAAACAAGTAGTTTTATAAGTTTATTTAATACTAGCGACTCACCCCGGCTCCGTATTGGGTTCGTCCATAGTGAAAAACAAAAACAACCTATCCCACGGGAACCGTACATCTTTCCGGGATAAAAAGCCTATGCGCTATTCCAGACTATAATCTATCTATGTGCCAAATTTTATCCAAATCCGTTCAGCCGTTCTGGCGCGAAAGAATAACAAACATCCATACATACTCACAAACTTTCACTTTTATAATATTAGTATGGATTCAGTGTGAGAGTTCCTTATTACATAATAAGACGTCTTGGACATTTTTAAATTTCATAATAATAGTATAAAAGTTTGTCTTTATTCGACAAAATAATATGTTTAAATATTATAATTTTAACTTTAACCTTTTAAATTACATTTTGTTTTAAATTACTAGAACACCAGTCCTTATGTGGCTACAATGATGTTCTCCCGACCGATTCCGGCCACGGCGGCCAATCTCATTGAGACTAGCCAAGTGCGCAGGAGATATTATAGTGCACAAGTGTACGCGCAGACACAATTGCACTCTCTATTCCTGTCATCCTCATACTCCGGTGGGACGACCACTCGACACGACCAGTAAGAGTTAAGGCGCAGGACCGACGGCTTTACGTGCTCTCCGAGGCACGGGGGTGAAACACCTCCAACCTCCCAACTCCGGGCTGTTACTGAGACTTACTATACAGAAAGACTCAATAACTAAACTTGGCCCGACCCGGGACTCGAACCCAGGACCTCCGAGTGTGCAGCCGTACATGCTAGCCACCACCGAGGCAGTTAAACTGGCTACAATAACTTGTATATGTATATTACAACTAACTTATTCAAAGAATTTTACAACAATATATGCATATTTAATTAAATAATTTTGACGACAGAAAAGAAAACTCTACAGTAACAATATTGGAAAGCGTTAAATAGATTTAGAACTGCTTCCTTACATAACATTTCTTTTCAGAATTATTAATAATATTTAATTACAAGACACTACTCTCGCTTCGCTCGCCTACTTCTTTGGGTATGTTTTGCCACTTGATACAAAAACATAAGACGTGTCTTTATCTATACATATAATAAAATTGTAACTAAGCCGAATCTGTACATTAAATATTTTTTGGAAAATCTTATTGAAATAAACATTATTATCGATACAGAGGCCGAATCTATAGTTTTTAGAAGTTTTGTCTGTCTGTCTGTTACCGCATCACAGAAAAAGCACTGGAGGGATTTTGATGAAATTTGGTATTGGTGATAGCTGGCTATCCGTGTCAACATATAGGATACTTTTTACCAGAGGAAAATGTCTCATTCCTGAGCTAAAATACAAAAACTGCAATGTAAGAGTATACTAATATGTTAAGCCTAAGAATTTGGTTTTTGGTCATCTGAACGCGGACGGAGCCGCGGGCAATGCTTGTACTATATATAATACTCGTATATATTTAACAATTGGCAAACTATTATCGCCATCTTTTAGTGAATTTTAATACTAACAATAGCCTATGTTTAGATCTAAATCTATCTGTGTATTCATTCTAACCAACGTCTAGCTTTTTCAGCGTTTTATTATACTATTGTGATAGTATAGTAAAGCATAAAATTATATGCAAAATATTATTCTGAATGATAATCTTAACATATAAAACTCTGCAAAAAGATAATGCAGAAAAAGTGAACTAAAATAATACCTTCTTACAATTTTATCGCTGAAAAACCATTACATAATCACTAATGGCACAATTTTGCCAAAAAAAACACCCTATTTCGCGATACAGCCAGGTTTTCGGGTTTGATGAATGGTATCCTGCAAATAATTGTCCTTTAGGGCAAGGGGGTTGCCGCCTTACCCCACTGGCTCCGTAAGGGCGGTGAGGGAGAAGGGCGGGAAGGGCGGAAAGGGCGGAGGCTGTGACGTCAGCGGTCGACGCCCGAACAGCTGAGCAGGCTCTGGGCGACACGTGCGGTATAAATGACCTGATTGTACAACCTTTGTTTTATTTCAACGTGTTAGGTTTAAAAATAACTTTTCATATTTATGATATTTTTTTGTGCATTTATATGATTTATTATTAAGGTAGATATTGTACTTATTATGTTAATGAGCAGCCTTATTAATTAAAAATAATCGCTATTAATACATATATGTATGTCAAACCATGTCTATATTTCAAATAACTATGGGTCTTAGACAAGGTGTCATTCTACAGTCGTTGTAGAATAGAAATCTTAAAAAAATATATGGAATCAAATTATTATGATTCCATTACATAACATAATTTATAATTTCAATACAATTTAAAATTTCTACTTTCCAACGATTGTAGAATCTCGTATTATCTTATTACTTGTAATAATAACATCTTTATCTCTTCATCATTTCTTGGTTAAAGTAAATACGTATTAGTCATACAAACAAACATACTAATATACATATGTATATGTCAAAGCCTTAATAATCTATTTTAATATTACAAAGAGGAAAAATTTGTTTTTTCGTTTGTTTGTTTGTATCGAATAAGCTCCAAAACTACTGGACCGATTTAGATGAAATTCAGTAAGAAGATAGTTTGAGACCCTGGGAATGACAAAGGATAGTTTTTATCCCGGAAATCATCTCTTACGGGGTCGAAAATTGGGATAAAAGTTTGTATGAGAAATCAACCTAGGGAAGCTAGGATGAGTCGCTAGTAAAATATATATAATTAACCACACATAAAGTAATTTTAAATGAAAAGGAAACGATAAGCTATTAATTATGTACTGTAAAATATGAACGTCTGTTAATCACAGCTCAATCATTGGACCGATTTAACCCAAATTATGTGCGTGATGATACATTAAACAGTCCAGTTATGTTCGAATGGTACGTATATGGAATCCCGAGAGAAATCAAATACGCAGCTGTAACTATAAATAGCACGATAATAATTAAATTTCAAAACATACACTTTAATGCTTTAATTCATTTAACGTTAGCTTAAAGCTCTATTTGTTTGCGCAATAAATTATTATTCAATAACAACCACTAAAGTTACGCTTTATTTGATAAAGCTTTCATCGCACCCACAAGGGTCTATATACGAGTGTACAGTAATATTACATTATAAACTCCATGGTCTAGTGGCTTGCGTATACAGCTGTATATTCGCAAGTTCTGAGTTCGAGTCTCGGGTGAAGTATAAATGGGGTTTTAGTCAAGAAGTTTGGTCAGTCTGGAGTTGGGAAATTGGCGGTGCTTCACCCCCTATCTCACCGATCGTGTAGTGTTGTGTGCATGTACATATTATGTACGTTAGAGAGTACTAAGTAGAGAGGGAGTGAGTTTTTGAGAATAGCCATAGGGCAGAAAATTAACATTAGTTACTTATTAAGGAGAGATACTGGTTTCTGTGAGATTAAGTTTAAGTTGTATTTGTGACTTATGGATGTGAGTAGAATACTTTTTAACCCCCGACACAAAAATAGGGGAGTTATAAGTTTTGTATCTGTGTGTCTATCTGTGGCATCATAGCGCCCAAACACATGAACCGATTTCAATTTAGTTTCTTTTGTTTGAAAGGTGACTTGATCGAGTATTTTTAACTAAAAATCATTCCACAATTCAATTCAATCAAATTCAATTTATCATAGTTTTGTAACTAATAAAATATGAAAATATTATATTACAAAAAACTAAAACCATTAAAACATTCAGATAATTCTGTTATTCATTTATATCATCATTTTTAAATACAATTTTCATAAAAATACTTAAGAAATTAAACTTATATAATTTCTCGCAATTTACATAAAAATCTACGTGAAAGTAACTCTACGTGTATAATTTAAATGGATTACAATGCATTCAAAAACTGCACCGCTTTGTATAGCAAAATGCATTAAGTTAAATACCTCAAAATAATTTTCCACTCAAACTTACTAAATTCCGTACGACATTGAACATTTGTCGTATTAAATAAAAATAGCCACACTGGCTTCAAATGTTCAGAAACAATGTATACTAAATTAATAATATTATAACGAGATAAAGTTTGTGAGTTTGTGACGTTGTAGGGGGTAATCTCTGGATATACTGAACCGATTTAGATGAAATTTGGCAAGAAGATAGATTGAGACCCTGGGAAGGACATAGTACTTTTTATCCAGAAAATCATCCCTGAAAGGGATGAAAATGTGGATGAAAGTTTGTATGGGGAATCAACCTAGGGACGAACCCGAGCGGAGTGAGGGTAAGTCACTAGTTTCATCTATCTACACATATAATAAAATTGTAGCTAAAGCCGAATCTGTACATTAAATATTTTTTGGAAAATCTTATTGAAATAAACATTATCTATACATATAATAAAATTCTAACTAAGTCGAATCTGTACATTAAATATTTTTTGGGAAATCTAATTAAAATATACATTATTATCGAAACAGAGTCCGAATCTATAGTTTTTAGAATTTTTGTCTGTCTGTCTGTCTGTCTGTCTGTCTGTCTGTCTGTTACCGCATCACGAGAAAACCACTGGACAGATTTTGATGAAATTTGGTATGATGATAGCTGGTTATCCAGGTCAACATATAGAATACTTTTTACCGCGGGAAAATATCTCATTTCTGAGAAAAAATACAAAAACTGCATTGTAAGAGTATACTAATATGTAAAACCTAAGAATTTGGTTTTTGGTCATCTGAACGCGGGCGGAGCCGCGGGCAATGCTAGTATAAAAGTATGCTAGTATAAAATATAAACTCGTACAAAATATTAACTTCGTAGGTGCTAAGTGTCTGAAAACTAGACAATAGCTGTCTTATGATAAAATAAAAAAATTGGAGAAACTATAAAGATTCAGAAACATCGTACAATCAAGGTTATTATTTATTAAAGTATGAAACTTTTAAATTAAGATAGAGAAATCTCTTAAATTTAGTCATTGCTTGCCACGTTTTTTAGTTCTAAAAATAGAGATCCAAGAAGACGGTTGTGTGATACAGTTACACTAATCTGACATATATTTTGACTGTTTGTTTCGATTGCTTAGATAAGTCCTAAATTAGCGCAAAAACGAAAATATGGCTATCACATTTAGTTCACTATCTGGATTTTTATAAGATTTTTAGTTTGAGTACAACGATATATTATGTCACAATGATTTTCATTAATACGTTATTATCATATAATATAGACAAAAACAAATCTATCCCACGGGAACCGTAAATTTTTCCTGGATAATATATAACCTATAGCCTTTCTCAATAAACGGGCTATCTAATGCAAAAAGAATTTTTCAAATCGGATTAGTCCTTCCAGAGATTAACGCGTACACAAACACACTCTGCCTTTTTCTATTATTAGTATAGATAACATTTAATGTGAATAAAATAATCAAAACGTTCTTTATATATATATATATATATATATATATATATATAAAGATATATATATATATCAGATGAAGTTTTTGTTCTGCCAATGCCTCATTTAAATTTCAAGACGTCTTACTACGAAGTTGGGTTTAATCCTCCACGCGGGCGTTTGAACGAAATAATCTCGCAACTATTTGTAACATTCGCGTATATATATTACTTGTCTCGAACTACTTAGATTGTAAATTGTTGATTAAAATTATATATTTAGATTATTTTATGTCATCTAAAATGTCGTTAAATGTTTCTGGTATAATAGGATTCGCAGATTTGATTTCCGTGTGGTGTAATTTAGTCCTAGTTAGGCTGAAATATACTGATGACGTAAGAGAAACACTTATTAACATACGTATGCAATATGCATATATTTGCATATACAAAGAGATTTAAGATTAAAATTTTAACTAATACACTATTAATAACTTTAGAATATAAACATATATTTAAATAAATATTGAATTTCTATCGTTCTATAAACAACAGGTAGAGTCTCTCCGTACCCAGAGTGCATAGTTGAGATGACCAGCTCCAAAAGTACGTTCGTAAATAATTTTTCATCGTATATAATAAGAGTATTTTACCGCGACCCCGCACGCGGTTTTTCAATTATGTATTTAGGATATCTTTAAAAATTATAGCGTATATGTTACTTTAGTGCACAAGCTATATTACTGTAAAGTTTCATCAAAATCCGTTCAGTAGTTATTGCGTGAAAGAGTAAGAAACATCCATCCTCACAAATTTCCGCGTTAATAATATTAATAGGACGAACTGAGTTTTTCTATAAAAGCATCGAAGGGAGTGTTCAGACAATGTATTGAGACCAGCACCCACAATACACATAATAATTTATTTTAGGGCCACTTTTATTCTAACAAAATTTGTATTGTTAAGAAGATTTTAACAAACATACATACATAATATTCTCATAGATACAATTTCTTACATGAACCATACACTTAAAAGTAAACAGTTCGAAAGGGAACCAAGCTTTAGACGAGAGGCACTCGAGCTAACAGACCGTTTATGATAATCGTCTTGTCCTATATTAAGCAACTAATAATATATAAAGGCTATCTCACACGCTCGACTTTTCAATGAAAATGTCAGCAAACCATTATTCGTTCTAAATATATAAATATCTTATGTTAATATTTTTAAACAGTTTCCACCGAGTGAGTTAGTCTTTAAACATACGTATGTACTAGCGACTCACCCTCGCTCCGCTCAGGTTCGTCCGTAGTTACGTTTTAAGGTTTAGTACAGATTTCTCAGAGATGAGATATTTTCCTGCAGTAAAAAGTTCTAAATGTTGACCCGGATAATTAACTATCATCACACCAAATTTCATCAAAATCTGTCCAGTGGTTTTCTTGTGATGCGTTCCCAGACAAACAGACAAGTATTCTATAAACTATAAATCTAAAAACTATACTTATACTTCAATAATTTTAAAAAAATAATAATGTACAGATTCGATTCAGTTAGAATTCTATTATATGTATAGATTATAATACAATAT